CAGAGGGAAACTGAGAGAAAAAACAGAATATTGAAGTGCGCTTTGAGCAGCAGAGTGAATTTATTAACTTGGAAGTCTGCTCATCAAATGTGTTTGTTTAAGGCTTTTGTTGATTTTTATCTATGGAGTCGTTTTTTTTCTGTTTTCTGTTTTATTTTTTAACCAACACGCTACATTTTTGGATTTTAAATCCCATAATTATGCAGAGGGAGATGTTGCAGATGTTATTGAAGTGCTGACTTTCAGCTTTAATTCAAGGGGTTTAACAAAAGAAGAATTGCATTAACAGTTTGGGAATTACAGCTCTGTTTATACACAGTCCCTCATTTTTATAAGAAATGGGAAAATTACCATAATTATAAGAACTGTTTTTAGTGTTGGACTCACAGACATCACCGGGCGCTGTGTTACATCTCTGCCAGGCCTTTACTACAGTTTCTGCTTGTCTCTGGGTCTCTCTGTCTTCAGTTGTGTATTTAGTAAATGAAAAGCATGCTCTACTGTGTTTGGATAAGGTGACAGACTTGATCACTGAAGAATATCCCACTTCTTTACTCTTTAGTTACGATTCATGCACACGCCATTACAATTCCTCCACCATGTTTGACAGATGATGTGTTATGGTCTAAGGATCTTGGACAAAAAAGTGTCTGGACTCCTTTAAGTTTCTTGAAGACACTTCTTAAATAAGTCCTGATGCTTTTCTTTCCAAGCTCCTTGGACTACAATGACCTGGATGACTGAGAACCTTCACAGCTCATGATGTGTTATGCTTCACATCATGAGCTGTTTCTCTCCTGCATTCACACTGATGACACTGTCTCTTGATTGGAGAACCTCTCAAGAGTGCTGCTGACTCAGTTAGATGTTGTGAAGTTGCTTTTCTTAACCAGAATTCTGTTATTGTGCACTTCAGTTGTTTTCTGTGGTCTTCCAGACCTTTTGGTGTTTCTGAGTTTGTCGGTGCATTCGTTCTTTGTAAGGATGTGCTAGATTGTTGTTTTGGCCTCGTTTAAAGTTTCTGATAGAATTAGTTTTTGTTTGTCAGCCTAATGATGGGCTCTTTTACTTGCACTTGACATGTATTTGGACCTGATATTGAGATTTCCAATGAAAAGACAGCAAAAAAAACAACACAAGTTTAACACTTAAACCAAGGTAAGAAAAAGAAAATCTGTTTTCTCAGTTTGGCCCAGGACTGAATGAATTCTGTTTGTTTTTTAACAGATAAACAGTGTAAACCCTGGAAGCCTGTGGTTTCAGTGAAGATCAGCAGTCTGGTGGGGGGATTATATCTGCTGTCATTTCAGATGTCACTCTGTGCCTTTTGCTACAGCACATCAAATGCTGTGCAGTCTGCGTGTGTTTAACACCGACACTCTAGAAACCAAACACACCTTTATCACGTGGAATTAAATTACATATTTTCATTTTATGAAGAGCTTCTCTTTCTTTCAAGTAACAAACAAGGAAAAAAACAGTGTTACGATTTCACTATGATTTAAGAGCGTGACGACAGGGATTTAATCAGTGTGTTTAAATAGACCGACTGTTGGCTTCAGCAGCAGCCGGAAAAGTGTGGATTTGATATTTATTCTGTCCATCTGTCCTGAGCTTTGCTGACACATTGACAATCTGTAAAGCCTTCACAGAACAGATGACACGATCTGACTCAACTCACACAAACACAGAGGGAGGATTTCATGTCTGTTTATTCAGGAACTTTATTCTTTCAGCTTCTTGGCTACTTCATTTCCACACAAATCCCCCCATCTTACTTTTTAGACAGGTACTCATATGTTACCAGTAAGTCACTGCTTGCAATTGACTCTTTCTCAAATGTGTCTCAGAACAAAAACAAGTTAAAAAAAAAAGAAAAATTCCACATATTTTAACATGAATTTTCGAGACTAATATCAGACGAGCCACTGTTTGCTCATTGATCTTTTTCTGCCCTCTCATTCAGCAATCACGCGGCCCTCCACACAAACCAAGTTAATGTTTGCTTGGACTCTGTGATTTTTGCACACGCAGTAGGAACAAAGGCCAAAGCAAATATTTTCTTTAAAGAACAGATCTGACTTCATTTGAGGGCTTAAAAATTAAATGATTCATCACTTATTTACACTGATACCATAAAAGCCTCCAAAATAAAAGCCAAAACTCTTTCTGACACAGACGCAATTGAGATGACCTGCTGAAGTTCAAACTGAGCACCGGGTGATTTAAGTGACTTTGAACGTGATGTGGTTGTTTCTGCCACACTGGAGTATTTCAGAAACTGCTGATTTGCTGGGATTTTCCCACACATCTCTGGGGTTTACAGAGAATGGTCCAGAAAAGACAAAATACTCTGTAAGCAGCAGTTTTCTGTGTGAAAATGCCTTGGCAATCAGAGCTGATAAGAAGGTAGCAAAAACTCAAATAACTACTTGATACAAGAAAGTTATGCAGAAGAGCAACTCTGAGCACATATGTTGAATCTTGAAGCAGATGGGCTACAGCAGCAGAAGACCAGACCGGATGCCACTACTGTCATCTAAGAACTGAGGCTACAATTCACACCCCACCACCATACAGAAGATTAGAAAAGAGTTCCCTGATCTGATGCAACACTGGGATAGTAGGGTCTGAATCTGGTGTAAAAACATGATAGCATGGATCCATCCTGTCACATATCAGCAGTCCAGGCTGCTGCTGGTGGTGGGGATATTTTCTGGGCACACTTTGAGCCAGCTGAGCTTCATTTAAACAGGCTACCCAACCATGTCCATCCCTTCATGACCACTGTGTGCCCATCTTCTGGGCTGCTTCCGGCAGAAAACACACCAAAATCAATTCACCTCAAACTGGTTTCTTGACCATGCTCAAAAGGCCTCCACAGTCCACAGTGAGTCACATCAATCTCAGATGATTTGAGATTGATGTTTTTCTTGTGACATTACCAATAAGTTTGATGTGTCACATGGCCCTCTTCCTATTGAAAAAACAAAAGTTGTA